TAAAATAAACAATATAACGGAACAGAAGATGCTAAAAAGCTAAAACTGAACCGATACACGCAATTGCGCCTTGTATAATTTTTTTTTTATTAAGCGGCGGTTTCTAATAAGTACCTACGGGAATATTAAGCTATGCAAGCTCTAATGCAGGTTAGAGATTTCAATTGTCTTCGACAAGTTTCTGAACCTTCTACGACATGCAAACTACAACTGAATCTACACTGTCGCCGTGAACGCACGTGATAGTAAATTAATTGTCATAACTCGACGTTATTATTGACATGTGCTTGGGGAGTTTGAATTTCCTATTTCATAGCCAAATCATTGGTTAGTTTTAGTGTTCTACTATAGTCTAATTCGGATACCGTCGATTATATTCGTTAACTTCGTACCTCCACCAACGTGAACTTTTGAGTAGGCACAAAAACAGAATTACTAGAAATTATATCAATATGATTATACCGCATTTTATAAGTAAAAAATCGTGCAGAAATTATATTTCAAGCTTTAATTGCCCGATATTGCGCTTGAAGAGAAAAAAAGGAATATCGTCCGAAACGAGTTATGAGGCATTCAAATTTAGCGGACGATATGTGATAAGATAGATTTACATGCCATAATAATAAAATACAGAACTTTCAAGCCCTTACTATTTAATATATAGGTTTAAAATTTAGGCTTTATCATGTTGGAGAAAACCACAAAAAGTGATTATTTTGATAGTAATGCAATTTGTAAACACACATACATCAGCCCTTCCAGATCACTGCGTGACTCCTAAACTTCAAGGCTTTACATTACAGTGATCTGTCTTCATTAATTAAGTCTCATTCTCATTTATCTGCTAGACGGGAGATTGCGTTGTTGTGCACGTCGAATGTAACTATGGGTTTACTATTCAACCCCTAAAATGACAACATTGCGTAACTCATTTTTTTTACGAACCAAGTGACGGAACAAGCTAGTCATGTGGCTTGTATTAAGCGACACGCCTGTCCATTGCAGTTGCAGTGTCATTCAGAGCTTTAAATAGCAAAGATCTGAGTGACACTGCCACTGCGCCTGTCACACTGAGAGATAAGTTGACGAGTTTCATGTTTGATTGTTTGTGATGGTTTTTCCAATAAACCAATATCTCGGGCCCTCTAAAGGTCCCATGGTCACGACAGACTGACTGACGGAGTCAACCGTGACTATGTGTAACAATATAGCTATTATATAAGCCTAAGATATTCATCACAATGAGTTATGCTACTTTGCCCCGTAGGACAATATACTGTTCTCCTGATCATCTTTGGCCACCAAAGTGACTACTTCAACATCACGTCATTGTTGGTGGCGTTTGTGTGCTCTCACGTGGCTTATGTAGCCAACCCTATTTGTGAAGACCCGTGCGCATAACGGCCACTTAAACACACCATGAGTCAACATATTGATAGTTGATCGTTGCAGGTGGTCGGGCTTTCAACTCGTTACTTCTGACGTCAAATTCAATACGTCGACGGGTTTCAAATACAGAATAGGAGAGTTTCAAAAGATCTCCATTTGCAGTGTTTGCAAATGCTGCTTGCCGTTTCCCACTGTCTTGGAGAATTGTCGTAGATTTTCTTGTGGCCCTTATATACATCTTTATACCTGAAGAGTTGTCCGCAATGTTCTAATGTCTGCGTGTCCTCTGCATTCTTTGAATTATAGCCGCCTCAACAAAGTTGTCGTCCAAAGGGACTATTTAGTACTCACTCTCACACTCGAGTTTAAACAACAAACAAAGAGAGGGCGCGTTACAACGGCACCGCGCCAACTGTACTTTGTTGTTTTTAATTTCAAGAAAAATAAAACTACGTTTTATGTCATAAGGAATGTTGTGTCCAGTCAGGACTGTAAGTACCTACTACATCTCTAATTGATGTTAATGATGGTTTCGATATTAATTGATGAATTAATCTGTAATTGGTATTAACGATAGTTGGAATATTAAAATACGAATTTCAAGTTAATCGATTGCGTAATAAGCTGTTTAAGTAAGCTGATGACAGCAATAAAAGTTCGGTTAAAAAAACCTAATTCTACATTGCAATTTTTTTTTTCTATTTATGTTAAGTATATTTAGGATGTTATTTTCTTTATTAATGTAAATACTAATTCTAACTTATGTGAAAGTATTTATTGCTTCCATGTGTTACACAGCTGTCATAATGCGGCGGTAGAGCTCCTTAAGAAAGAGTTCGTCCAGGGAAGTACTGTCACCTTATCTATTTCTGCCGCCAAGCAATAATGTTATCCGGTTTTGAAGGGTAAGATGGGTGCTGGTGAAATTACAGGCACATGAGACTTGTCAACTTATGTCTCAGGGTGATGGGCGCAGTGGCAGTACCCCTCAGACATTTAACTTCTGAGTGGCACTGCAACTGTTATGGAGAGGCGTATAGCTTACCATCAGGCGCACGACTTATTCGTCCCATCACTTGATATTAAATAATAACAACAAGGCGACGCAATTGAAAATAAAAATAAACATAAAAAAGAACATTTAAAAAAAAAACTTATAATACTAACAACATTTAAAAATCAGTCAAAGTCAAATAATCTTTATTTCATAGGTGAATAAATTACACTTGAAATCGTCATATTGATTTTAAATTCTACTGCTAATTCAAAAGGCAGATTCTCCTGACAAGAAAATAAATGTTGCTCGTACCAAATAAACATTTGTACACATTTATTATTTACAAATATCATTGATCGAAACCACTGGACACTACTACACTTCTCTAATCTTTTAAATCTGCCTGTTAATAATGAACTACGTAAACAGTCAAAAGTAAACCTCATACAGTTGCGAGAATTAAAAATGCCTACTTGTATCGCATGCTAAAAAAAAAGAAAATGGTGGTAACATTTAAACAGACGTGTTTTGGTATTATTTTGTTTTATCGTATTTTTTCTATTTTGGTCGCGAAAATGAGTGCCGGTGAGAAGAGTGATAACGAAACTATATGTACACATTCAAACATATCATTACAAGTTCTGCAGACTGAATTGAATTATCCTAACACGTCAAATATTACTTTTCGAATTACGTTTTTTTTTTTTCACTTTTTCTATATACATCTTCCTCTCTTTAGTCTTTTATTATTTCCTCTCAATGTTTGAGAAAAATACTATTGTGTATAGTATTTAATCCTCAATGGCGCTCGTCTTTGTAACTCATACTCGTCCAACAATCCCTTACTTTCCGGCCTCTGCAATAATGTACTATTAATAATGTAAATTACAATTATTATTCCTTCCTTCTTCCTTTATCAAAATGTGTTTTAAGATATTTGCTTATTATATTTGTTAATAGTAGAAATTCCCTTTGAAACCTAGAATGGTGGCGCTGATATCGTATTGTCAGTCAACAGCAATAAAGTTCCTTATTCCACAACGTCAGCGAAGGACCAACTGTAAGTAATACAATGGAGGAAAACTGTAGTTTTCAAAGAATTAAATAACTTGGACAGCTCCATTAGCGTTCCCATCCTTTCATCTGTATTTTCATAATTTACTTCATATTCTTTCTGTTTAGCATGACAATAATGCTGCAAAGAAATGGTTGTTATTCAACAAGTTTTATTATTTAATAGTCCAGTTGTGCAGTCATGGAAATTCATCTTAAGTTTCAAAACTTTTTATTGCAGCGCCTTTTTTTTTTGCTTTCTTTATAAAGGTACTAAAACTAGAGTAGGAAAATAGTATCTGCGCCAAAAAATAATCAAGTTACAATTTACTTTTTAATATTCTATACTTCTATATATAAATGTATATAAATATTCAACATTTAATTTTCTTGGATGTCTGTTATTTAATAGTCACCCAATAAGGTTCACATTTTTATGTATTTACATAAATAATAGATACAATTTTTCTTGCGTTATTATTTATGATATCAAGTAAAGGAAGAAATACCCATAATTGTTGCAGTGCCTCTCAAAGTCCCGGAACACAGTAATGCTCACCTTACTGCTTGGCGGCAGAAATAGAGACATGGTGGCAGTAGTTCCCTGGATGAACTCTTTCAGAACGAGATCTACGGTGACTTACAAATCCATTATTGTTAATATTTATACCGAAGTTCTACGCATAGGTGTGCGACACGTATTGTAACAAAATGACATGTGCATTTTAAGTGTTGAAGCAGATATACGAATTTTGCAAATGTACTCACAAAACTCAACGAATTCCTTTGACATTTTCTCCATTGAACATTTTTGAGTTAGTCTATATTAAGTACCATTGTTGCGAACACAACAGAACATTTCGCTGATCTTCAGGAACATTGGTAGTTCTTACACGGATGTATTCAGAATGTGTGTAATTATGTAGTGACTGTATACGGTTCTCCAGCTTTGCGTGTCAGATACTACTCAGTATTTTCTGTCTTCCTAGGAATAAAAGGTTTTCGATATAGGCCACTACTCTAGAAATACTGAGTTTTTTCCTATCCTAAACACAAACAAAACTTTCCTCAAGAACCACATATGTAACCGCCGAACCCGGATAAAGATGCAGTCTCGTATATTTCTACATAAGTTTTGTTTATAGTGACCCACTCTCCCTTTACGGGAGTGTACTTTAGAGGTTGACAGGGCATTATAAACTGAGTATGCACAGAGACCTTCTAACTTCAAGTCCTGACCCCAAATCACCTCGTGAACAGAGTTGTCACAGACCGTTTTACAGACTTCCTCCGGTTCTCAAAAGGCTATATCTTATCTCGAATAAGATGAGATGCAGGATCTCGACAAGATCGATGAATAAAAGACGATTTCATAGTTCACTGTATATATATATGTATTACGATAGGTTTGTAATTTTGTACCAAGTACGCGGAGGATGTGTTCTACTTTGTACCAATAAACGTACCTACTTTAAAATCGAGTTTGACACTGATGTAATTCCACTATTATGGTAAGAAAGGGTGTAAAAATAAAACACGCACAATTCTTAAACTAAAACTATATACTTAAGTAAATAACAAAATGTTGGCGTGAATTCGTGAGATCACTGTTGTTGCTGCGGTGGTGCGAGCCGAGCCGCGAGTTGCAAGATGTCCCTTTTCTCCTTCGGGAAGCGGAGTTCCCGAGCTGCTAGGCGAGCGGCGCGGAGTTCTCTCTCTGCTCTAGATAGTTCCCCTCTAAGAACCCCTCCTCCCCCTGAAGATGAAGCTTCTCTCTCCCTCGCCGCCCATTCTCTAGCCATCTGTTCACGCATAGCATCATCCAAATTCCGAGCAGAGTAGTGTGCTACAACCTCCTGTCTTGAGCATTGCCTCTCGCGCATCGCTCTTAAGGAGCCGTTCCAGTGCAGCAGTTGGAATACAGTCATCAGTTCTTGGAATTCGAGCATCGTTCGCCCCTTGTTTGCTTCCAGCATAAATCTGTTGACAACAAATATTGCGAGTAAAGTAGTTTTCCAATTTCATACCAAGTTTTATTGTATTATATAATCGATACTTTTAAATGATTATTTTCTTTGTGAATAATTACTATTACCCAATAACAATGGATACGTATCTTTTAGCCCTTTGTGAATCTAATGCGCTTAAATAGGAAGCTAGCTAACTCAGCTTAGCTCACGTAGTTGCATGCAAAGATAAGCTTAGAAAATACGTGCTCGAGCAACTATGACAACACTATGGATACGTGCGGGGGTGAAGGGCGGCAGAAGGGCGACATATTTTACATAGCTTAGCGGGATCGTTGGGTTAGCTAGCTCGATTAGCTTAGTTCGGGGTGTGAACGGAAATAGTAATTATTCAAGATACCCCGACGACGTGCTCGAAGTTTAGTTAGTAGCTTACTTTAAATATATTACTAAGAACACTGCCCTCTTTGTTATAATAAACGCATTTGCATTTGGTAACTTTCGAGATATTGGCACCAAATTTGTTTTTTATTTGAAAAATGTTATTTAAGCTGATTTTGTTTAACAAAAAAACTAACTAAATAAGGTATATGAAAACCGTTTATAGGGTGTTGTAGATCACGTTACGTTGATTCCAGATATGTTAATAACTTAATTTCGCTAAAAATGTCGTTTACGTCAGTTAGTATCAGAGTACACTCAAAGTACTTAATAAATAATTACATTATTATATTTATTAATGAATTTGACATTCATCGTATTATTATACTGTACTACACATTTATTAGTTATTAAGAATCCATATTGACATTTTCTGTATACAATAGACCTGACATTATGAGTTTAATTGAATTATGTTTGTTTTTGTACATTTACACTATTGTGTACTTATGATTCACTGTTATATAATGATTTCTTCATTATTTTATAAACTTGACGCTCACTTTTCGAAGAGTAGTATAAAATGATATGTAATTGTATTTGTATGAAATTTGTAATATTGAGAGAAATAAACTAAACTAAACTATGATAAGGAGAGCAGAACACTGCCGCCGTTAGTTGAAAGGGCGCGTGTGACAATAACTCAAAATCGAGAAAATAATGTTTAAAGAAATGAAATTGAAAAATATCTACTTTTCTCTTGCTGCAACTTCATACCTTATCCATTTAGGAAAAAATAAAAATAGTGACTGAGCACGGATATGTAACATTTTTTTTAAAATGTCACATGCGCCCTTTCAACTAACAGCAGAAGTAGTTGTATTGGTTGGTAATTTATTTACCTAAACGCAGCAATCCCAGCGCTGGGATCCTGATGGTGCGCAGCGGCGTCTCCGGCGAAGGAAGCCCTGGCCTCCCCCACGGCCTTCTCAATGAAATGGTCCGAGATCCGTCTGGACTCATGCTCGTTGAACACGCTGTTCATCAGCGCAATTTTCGCGGCACTGCGTCGCGCTTCCGCTTTTGTCGGACAATTCTGTGGAAGAATCGTGGATTGTAGTTATACGAAAACGTATTCACATCGTATTATTATTAGTCTGAATTCAGTTTTACAATGTTGTTGTGTTAGACGTTTCCTGACGCCAGGAAACGTCTTCGAGATCATAATGCAGCTAACGGCCTATTCTATACAACTTTGACCATTTACGAACAGTTCACATCTGGTTGACGTGAAAATTGTTTTAGTTTGCAGTCTATTTTCCTACATGTAATGCCTACATTAATATAAGTAGTTTGTTAATTTTCGGGGATAAATATAACAAATACAAAATATTATTGTTCTGAAAGCTACTGTTATTTCTTTCGCAGTACCTTTGTGTTTTTTGTTTATAACACTAAGTGACAGGATGGGCACGTCGTGTGCCTTGTAGTAAACGGACGCCTGTCCATGACAGTTGCAGTGCTACATAGAGCTTTAAATCACACAGATCTGAGGGGCAGTGCCACAGTGGACGACACCCGGAGACATAAGTTGAGTTGGGATGTCTTTTTTCAGTTTCATTTTGTTTTTTATGGCTACTTAGGCAAAGATAAATACTTACCTGAAAACTACCAAAGCAAGCACCACCCGGCAGCGTGACGTAGCAGACGTACGGCGGGTGCGCAGCGGGCACCGACTCGTATATGACGAGGGCGCCTCCACCGCCCGCAGCCCCCCCTCCCCTCGCCGCCTTCACCTGCCAGAACTCTTGCAATGCTTCAACCACGTTCACCGTTGACAGGACTCCGTCCGCTGTTGACAAAGGACGGTAATTTATATATACGGCAAGGTCTTTTTTACTCCAATAGGTTTCATATATTACAAGGTACGAGGGTCAAATTTCAACTGAAAGCGAAATAAGTGGCGTATATGATGAAATAAAAAAATAAAAAATATTTTAGTATAAAAAGTTTATGTAAATTTTACAATTATTTATATATATAATATATGTATATATAACTATACTAATAATATACAATAAAGCAAGTAACGTTCAAATGGAACGTAATAATTATTTCTGACGTAGAACTATAGACAAATAATTAAGAGATTTCTGCAGGTTTACCTGTATTTTTATCCATGAATGAAAATAGTTTGGAGTTCATCATGTTAAATTGTGCAGCATATACTCTTTAGTTCCTTTTCAAATACTGAAAGGTGAAGTACTCACTAAATTTAGAAGGAACTCAAAGAGAGAGACAAAGTGATGAACTCTGTCCAGAAACAAAAAAACAAAGATTTCAGCACATGATTTTTTTTTTAAAGCAAATGGACTTGCTCTTGACGACTACATATCCCTGGAGCAAAGGTAGGGTCTATGAAGGAACGAGTTCGTCCAGAAGATGCCTATTCAGTCACACTTTAAAGATACTCTGAAGAAAATGGACAACATTCTATACATCGCTTATGCTTATTCTTGTGGCTCTGAGAAAGAACGTAAATGGAAACAACTCGGTTTAAAAAAGCTATAAAAATACACTATATTAACCAACATCTAATGCATTCACAGTCTAGAGTGTAACTGTATTAACAGTAATAATTAACTATCAATTGTACTCGGTTCACACGACTCCCGTAAAGACGTCCCTCTATAAAAAAGATATTTACGAATTAGAAAGGCAAGACAATCAAGCGAAAACGGATAATTGTGGCGATGATTTGATTTAATAATCCGAGATTACTGGCTGCCAACTTTCATGAGAATTTATTATTGCGAACGGTGACTCTTATATAAACGCGAAGTAAAATATCGTGAGAAAAATATGAAGCACCTATGTCAGGGCAATGAGACTAAATCGTGGGTGCATGAATACCCTCCTTTAAGAAGACTTGTACTCGGCAGTAACACGCACATTATGGTTTCATGTAGTACGGTACTTATTGTAATTAGTACTTTTATTGCATAAATAGTTAGCCTATGTCACGGAGATATATCACATTATATCAGATAGGATATATCACGGAGAGTGTGCGATGGAATTGCATAATTTGATTCCGCCTTCCCCTTAACATCATCGGGGGACTAGACGTGGGCTGGGATTCCACCCCTATGTTGTGGATATTCCAAGGATTCGTACGAAGCGTCTCGCTTCCACATTTATATGGTGAGCGGATAGAGAGTGGAATTCCCTACCTGCGGACTTATTCTTCGAACACTATAAGTTGGACCTTTTCAAGGCGAGAGTGAATAGGCATTATTTAGGTGTGCTACATCGTCGACCTCATCATCACTTTCCATCAAGTGAGATGGAGGTCAAATGAGCATTTATTTTTATATACAAAAAAACCTGTATTTAATTCCATCGCTGTGGACAGACTTCTCACAATGGGATAACACGCAAACCCAAGCGATTGAGAACTTGACACACAGTATTAAAAATCTACACAACCTCAAATAACTTTGGCTGATTCTGCATAACAGTGAAAGTGAGGAATCAATCACTAGTACTGCCACCTTACTTACTTCTGCCGTCAAGCAGTAATGTGAGCATTACTGCGTTCCGGTTATGAAGGGTAAGGGTGCCGGTGAAATTACAGGCACATGGGACTTGCCAACTTATGTCTCAGGGTGACGGGCGCAGTGGCCAGTGCCCCTCAGATCTTTGCGATATAAAGCTCTGAGCGGCACTCCTATTGCTATGTACAATATGTTATATGCTATATACTTTTTAATTATACCCATATTCTGTATTACTCAGCTGGGCATACACTTATCACCGAAGTTTTCTGTGCAGTGTGTTAAAGATTTCTTAACGCGATAACAAATTTTGTTTCGCTCGTTGTTGTTTACATTAGTTCTGGTAATTTGTTGTGAATTTTAATTGATATAACAAACTAACTAGATGTGTGTAATGTTCGCGAGGTCGATGGTACTAACCTGTCTTTGTTTCTAAAGGATTGTTTCATGTAGGCACACGTTTCTTACGTAAATATTTCGGAAAATAAGATCACAAACGGATAAAGTCAATCGGAATACCTTTCGTACGGCTGTGTGAATAATAAATAAGTCTCACAATACGTGAGGTTGATTTGATTACTATTTAAGAGTTATAGTCTCTTGTCCGTAGAGTAATCGCTAACCATCTCAGTTGAGCATCCTACTTTTGCGCTGACTTTTTTTATTTGATCTAAATTACTTCATTTAGGTATTCCTTTCTACATTGCTTCTAAGAAAACTATCGTGTCCGAAACCATTAATAATAATAAAAATAACTAGAGGTGAAACGAATAGTCATTTGGCCGGATACCGGATACTAGATATCCCGTGAGCACCTGCGCCGGATAGCCGGATATCCGGCCGCCGGATATCCGACAGCCGGATGTCTAAATCACTGCCGTAAACATGTCGTGATCGGTTTACAGCGCGCATCGCCGTGATTGATTGACTAGTGAATGATGGCACTTTCACATTGACGATTTGATTTATCGTGGTTACTTGGTTTTTACAAAAACAATTAATTTATTTGATAATATAAACAAACATATAACAGAAAAATGTTAACAGTGCAAAAATAGCAAATTTGGCAATATTTGAATATCACTGCTGTTTGTTTGTTGAGCCGAACGCAAATTTCTTGCGGTAGAGAAGGAAAAAAGCAATTACATCATTCTTTGGCTATATTAAAATTGCTAGTTACTATTAAGTATAAGCACTTTATACGTCCGTTATTATTTTGTTTGAATTTCATTAATTTGTTTGTGATCTAATTAATTCTAAGCCTTGATATCAGAATTACCAAAAAAAAGGAAATTTTATCTACTCACACAATTCATTATTGTAGGTTTTGTATCAGGGTAATGGGTGCAGAGGCATTGGCCCTTAGATCTTTGCGATTTAAACGCTCTGAGTGGCATTGCAACTGTGAACAGGCGTGTCGCTTACCGTCAGGCGCACGACTTGTTCGTCCCATGACTTGTATCATAAAATCGTACACATTTGAAGTCAGTTCAAATCGATCGTGATCGCAATCCTTTCATTTGAACGTCTGGCAATAACATGTAGTACGTCAAATTTTGCAAGTGTTTATAGTAAAAAACTGTCCCTGAAGCTGGTCTCGTTCATGAAAATAAATACAACAAACTTTTACCACCAAATGCAGACTGCAAAAACTGGTTTTCATCCACCATAATTTGCCTTTATTGAAATTTGAGTACTAAATTTAGAGATAACGGTATCTAACTTGATAGTTGTTTCAGTTACAAGTAATAAACGATTGTCAACGATCCTGTGAATACTGTTTATCCTATTACTATCAACTTTACTGAATAAATCAATTTATTTCGCGTGCTGATTATAAATTTTTCTCAGTTTTGAACATCCGGTATCAGGCCGGATATTATTCTACTATCCGGTATCCGGGCGGATAAATAGTAATAGGCCGGATACTGCATAGTTACCGCATATCCGTTTCATCTTTATTAATAACGCACACGCTCAACATAGCCCCGCATCAGGAAAACCCTGTATCACGGGTGCCATGGGCACACCCACAGACAACCACAAATTACACCCAAACTCACGAGAGAAATAAATGTAGGCCATACAAATTTTTCTCCCGGCCCGGGACTCGAACCTGGGACCTCTGCGTGGAAGTCCGGCATGGTAATCGTTCGGCCACGGAGGCAGTTGTATTACTTACATTTGACAGTAATTGTTTCGGATGGATGTCCTCACGTCTTTTAAGCTTCTCTTTTCCTGCACTATTCTTACCACTTTTAGAAGCAGCAGAGCTCCATATGAAAGAGATCATCCAGGGAAGTACTGCCACTTTGCCTATTTCTGCAGCCAAGCAGTCATGTAAGCATTACTGCATTCCGGTTTTGAAGGGTGTTATTACAGGCACATGGGACTTGTCAACTTATGGGTGACTGAAACAGTGGTAGTGCCCCTCAGACCTTTGTGATTTAAAGGTCTGAGTGGTATTGCAACTGTTATGGACAGGCATGTCGCTTACCAGCAGGCGCACGATTTGTTCCCGTCACTTGGTATATTAAAAAAAACTTTTTTCCAAGGCTGACGACGTTCTTATTAACATTAACATTAAATTATAACACTTTTAAATCTATACTACCCTCGGTAGGTACATCAAGGGCTTAAAATCTCCACAACTCACAGCGTACGGTTTCCCAAAAAGCTAATTTACATAATTCCAAATCTTTTTAGGATTTGCTTATGAAAGTAATTCCGTAAACGGTTTTTACCATAATAGCCATTTCTTTAGTGTCAGCAAATAATAAAAATATGAACTAAATTAGCATCGAAATTGTAGGAAGATACTTTAAATGTATCACAGAAATTGCCAATTTGTGCAAATTAAGCATAAACATTAGGTAAATTAAAAGAATTTATGACTTGGCTTGACAAGAAAAGATTGGTCGTGGACAGTCGTAATTAATATATTTATTACAGAATCGAGCTTGTAGAGTATACGTCGCACATGACAACTAACACAATATTATGTCAAAAAAATTCGTTATAATATATTTTACCAATTCCGTGATATATGTATGTCATTCGTATACGATTTAATTTCAAAATGACAGGATAACACTCTCACTTTGAAATTGAACTGTATACGCCTGCCTTGTAGCCTGTGTGATGTATCCTTTATCAGCTTTATAGTTAATTGTTAATTTATATAAGAATCATTTATAATTAAACGCCTTTCGATACGGAAACACAGGAAATTAATACTATTTGTACTTATTTATAGAAATTGATAATACCTACATGACATGAGGATTAAGAATTT